CTTTCCCATCACATCTCCCGGCCCACAGTGCAGTCTGTGAGCCAAACACAAGGTTGAGATGTGCTTTCAGGCTGGTTTGGTGTGGTTAAAGGTGTAAGCATAGCAGAAATTCTGCCAGCCCTCCTCATTTGAGATGAGTAGTTGTGCAAGGCATTTGATTCAAAGGCTCTGTTTAGATCTCCCTGAAGGTATTTCTCAGCTAGAAATCGAATTAATGTAAAAGCAGAAAGGCAACATAAAAAAATATGAGAGTTCATTTCCATATACCAATGCAACAGCAGGCAAAGACATTTCTCACACAAGCACTCAAAGCCAAACTGATTTTTTTCCTTTACATCACTCAGATATTCTGAAGGAAAGGAAGAAAATTACTCATTTCCATTTTCACTTGTCACCTACATACAGATGAGTATCTATTTTTAGAAAAGGAAGCAGCACATAGCACATTTAAATAGCTTTCAACAGCTATATTGCTTAGGGCAGCAAGAGCCCATCAATCTAGTTGAAATTATACAGTGCATGACAGAATTCCCTGCTTTTTTCCCCTCTCCTTGGAGGGTCACTGCATGCATGGGTCATTTTGCTGTGTAACAAAATTAATCTGCAGTGAAATACAATTACAATACATAAATAAAACACAGAAGTCCTTTTGCAGGTTGCACAACTGGAACCCATACCTAACAGAATTGGAGACTCATAATTCTATCCACCATATGACAACACACAATACTAAACAGGCAATCTTTGTATCCAAAGCTGCAACCCGTGCATCCAAAACGCAATAAAGAGAAGCACAGCTTGCAGAAGCTACTGCACAATGCTACCAATAATCCCAGCACAGAAGGAAGCATCAATGAAAGCAGCAACAGCTAAATCAGCACATTTCCCTGAACTCCTCACTGCTCTGCCACAATCACTGATATGGTACAAACGTTAATGGCATTTCTAAACCCCTCAGCTACTCAACAGTCCCTGCACAGAGACAACACAAAACTTCAAATTAATTCTGTTCTATAAGAGTTAAACCAGTGCAAAGTCTTGGTGTTTAAAGCGATACATGGATGTACCTGTTCTAATGAGTTAGGAGCTACTGGATTCCCAAATGCTATTGTAATTGCAGGGTGGGAGGGGATGCACTCAGGTCCTAAAGAGGTGACACCCAACTTGCACAGCACTCCAGCAGTTAAAAGACTCAGGAAAGTAAAGCTTGCCCCATGGTATGTCTAAAATTGAGGGACTTGGCACCCATAGGCATCCTATCCCAGGTAACTAGTCTAACCATGAGCTATGGGGTTACAGAAAGGGCCCTCCTGTGTGATCCGAGGGAGTATGCGTCCCAGGAGTAGAAGCAAAGCGGCCTTCAAGAGGGTGGGCCAAAGGGGCTCAAAGTTTCACGACTCATTCAGGGCCCCATCAGATCTCACAAAGGAGAAAGAAGAGAAAGAAGATCTCAAAGCTCACTAGAAGGACAGGATGCTTCAGACCTCAACTGATGCAGTCAACTCCAGTAACTTTAAGATGTAGACTCCCTGAAACAGCAGCAGATTGGAAGTAGCTCCTGGTTCAAGAGTCAGGAAATAGGGAAAGTTAACCAAACTATAAGGCTATCTAAAGTTCAAGGTATTTAAGGAAATTTTTTTGGAGTGTCAGTGTTTATACAAGAACATTTCCTCCACCTCAACTTCAATAAAATACTAATGTTGCTGATACCACACAATTTCATACTGATGTGGTACTTTCCACTTGTTCAGTGATTGACAGGGCTGTGTTGGCATTAAACAAAATAAGACTTTCTTTTGGATAACTGGTAACAGGATTTCTGAGGTATCAAGAAGGACTATCAGTGCAGGAGAAGGAATGGCTTGCCATCCCAGTGTCACTGGATGCCAGATAACATGTTCTGGATCAGTATTTATAGCCCTAAAAACATCTGCTGCCTTCAGAGGCTCCAGGATTAAAGCACATAGCACTTTCCTCAAGAATGGTGACCCTGGCAAGACTCAGGATCTAAACAAGAACTGCACAGTTCCAGACAATGCTGATTAAGTGGCATATTTTTAAAAGGTGACTTCAGATAAATCCAAGAACATCATGATCTACAAGTCGAGAGGACAAATGTTTCAATGAAGCATGCTGGCCAAACTCTTGGAACACACTGATCCTTTCTCTTGCACAAGTATCTGGAGACCTGCTCACCTTCATCGGCGGGTATTTATGGTAAGGAGCTGCCCCTGTAGCCAGTTCGATAGCAGTGATCCCAAAGCTCCAGATGTCTGCCTTGAAATCATATCCTCTGACCTGAAAAATATTAGAAGATGTTAGCATGTGCCTCTTGCTATCCTACATTACAATCCCTTTCTTTAGCCTATTACACATCCTCTCCCCTCGAATTTGGAAAGACCAGCACTACAGTGTTAAAGAGATGGAAAGAATACTTTCTCCCTCCTCTCCCCCAGCTCCTTACACCTTAGAGGAGGTGTTTTAGAAGTCACAGTCTGATGAAAATTATGGTTGTGTACTGTGCAACTAGAACTGCACTGCCATAAACCTCTCCATGTGTAGAACATAAAGGGGCACTGGGTTAACCCAGGCCCCAACTTCTACAAAAAGACACAGGGAGTCATTAAACAGTATAATGAAACTCTCATAGTTAATAGATGGACTGTTATCCCCTTGGGACATATGCCTCACTACACTTTTAGTCAACCGCTTAATCAATCTGACTGCAAACATGCTCAATCCTGAAACTTCAGTACACACCAGCTCAGTAAAAAGCCCCTCGTTCCCGTTTGCAGACTAATATTTCCCTCCACCAATTAACAGTAGCTTCTGCACTTGACATTAAACACAGAGTTGTTCAGGAAAATTTATAGCATTTACTTCCCCTTATGCACAGGAAAAAATATTTCATATGCCAAAGCAGTTACTTCCTCATTATCATTAGGTAATATTTTGGCACTTGCTTTCTCCGCTGCAGGGAAGAGACATTATGTACTAAGTTCAAGAGCAGCTACAAAAATCAAAGCATTTTGGCTGTGCAGAATGGTTTGTATTTCTTCTCACTAGACTATGGAAAAATGAATACTGAATCCGACCAAAGCTAATAGGGATATTGTGTTCAGCTAATCTAACAAGCGTTAGAATGACACTCACTGTGAAGTCAAAAGCATTCCCCAAATCACCTTTATGATGATCTTGAATTTTGGCAAACAAACAAAAAAACCCTCTTGCACTATTTTTCATATAGTACTACAGTTGAACTGAAATTTACTATAGCAACAGGAGTTTATATCTTGTACAAATTTTTTCAACTCTGTAGACATCATTTTCATGAGCCTTAAAAGTCTGAAGGGTTTCTTGAAGTGCCTCAGTTTATAGGTGCCATGAGAACAGATTTCAAGTCATTTAACTAAACAAGCACAGATAACTAGTATAATTTAAAAGAACACAGTGCAGGAAGAAATATGCTGTAAGGGTTTTGGGTTCCCCCTCCAGCCCCCTTGCACTATTTTTAGGTTTTGAGAATAACTTCGGGACATTTTTTAGCTTTATCTTTCAGTTAGTCTTGCAGCACATCTAAAGACTGTACAACTCCCCATTCCCCACTGGGATTTTAACTGTTTAGCGTTTTGTTCTTTTTAATTATATCGTATAATCCTGCTTGCAAATGAAAGCTATGGAGTTCAAAACTGTATACTGCAGTTCATCTTGACATCTGTCCAATACATTAGTCACCACCCTGCAGTTAGTTTATACCAACAACATTTATTTTTCTCCTAATTATTTTTTTTGCCATAAATCTGTCAAGTGAATGTACATTAAAAGACAATGTCAGGCTATCATGTATTAACATGCTAAAGGAACTTAATGATGCTGAAATAAGCCAGATGGAATTGGGTCAATAATATCTACATATCGAAGGCTAACCTACAGCAACCCCTTCATCCTTTTTCCTGGGCTGGATATAGCGGCTCAGAGTGACACCTGCTGGAAGACAGCAAGATGATACAAATGGACATTGAAGGATTTCACATCAGCATCTAAAATACCTCCTTGCCATCTAATATTTGCAACAAGTTAGATGTGTGCAGCTTTTGTGGAAGTATCGGACTCCCTAGAAAACCTGCCTCCTGCGGAAACACATCTGTTGCATCAAGAACCCACGCACACACACTTTGTCACCAAAACCTTAATTTCCCTTTTTTAGCACCTTCCTTAAGACCTTCTTTTCCCTCTGCTGTCCGGCAGATTACAGCCACCCTAACTGCGATGAGCCTGGAGCAGCACCATTAGGTCCTGGCCAGCCTGTTGTGCCCTGTGCACCAGGACTGGACACAAAGGACAGAAAAGCAAGGCACAACTCTGACCTGTTTTTGGAAACACTGAATATTTTTATTTATTTTTAAATCAACGTAACAAAAAAATCCAGAAGCGTATGACAGCGAAGCAGTTCAGAAGCAAGTTCGCAAAGACAGCTCCTGACTTGGGGATTGTGTCTTGTACTCTCCGATGTTAGACTTGTATTCTGAGGAGGCTGCAAGAGTGCTGTAATGCATCGGTCCCCCAATGCCACCATGGGGAGGCCACTGAAAAGGCCAAACATCAAAAAAGCCTTTAATCTACAGTATATTTAAGCTACTCCAAAATTATTTCAATCCCTCAGGAAGTTTTAAATACAGGAAAAAAATGCATTAAAGTTCTGCCACTGTTTTAGCTGCATTTCATTTCAGATATAACTACGTGAGGGTCTTACTCAAGTTCCTCAAGTTACTTAAGCTTCAAAATATTTTATTGTGAACAGCAAGGAGAAAAGTAACAAGGTGGGTTTACTTTATTAAAACAATGTTTTCCCAAAATATTTTTGTTAAAAAGATTTTTGGAAGGAAAAAAAGGAAAAATGGAAAAACATTTATAGTCAGTTGTATTTCTGCTTGGCACACCTGTCAAAAATCAAACCCCGAGTCCAGTCCTCTGTCAAATTGTTTTTAAGGGGACGAGGGATAATTTTCAGAATGCTTACGGCACTGAACATCAGTGCAGCAGACAGCTATTGCAAATGCCTTGTCAGGACTGTGGCATAATTTTGTTCGTGGACCTTGCTCAGAAATGGGCAACAATATTTTACATTAAACAAAGTTTCCAGGTGGCCTTCATCAGAAGTCACATAGACAAAGCTTCTATAGTTTAGTCTAAAAGTAACGGAGAACAAAAAGTGACATATCTCCACCCAACGGGAAGAAGTATGACATTTTTTAGGTAGCCAAAAGAGCAGAGGAGGAAGGGGGAGAGGCGAGCATTCCTCAGCATTTACAGCCTGGGTACTCACAAGCCAAGAGAAACTAAAAACCTGAATAAAAGTCAACTGCGTGTTATTTCACTGCAATAACTCCCCGTTCTGACATGTTGGAATTAGCTACCCCAAATTCTCATATTTACAAATACACAAGAGCACATTACCAAGCTGTGTATGTGCATATTTACCACGTGTTAAACTATTTATATTCTACCTCGCATTTATGCAAGAGGGAGGGGCAGGTTAATCTTCTTTACACAACAGCTGAGCTGTCTCATCCTCACCTTAGGGAGGAGCCTGAAGAGAAGCAACAGGGCAAAAAAACTTAATATTCCCCAGTATGAGCCTGGCTGCTATAGGCAAAAGGAAGTAAATCCTGTGATTTTAAGAAAGCCTTACAGGATGCCAAATTGTCATCTTAGTTTGAAGTAAATACGGCCATTGCTGACAACAGGGAATTCCAGGTGCAGATCAGCTAAGAGGACTCTAGGAAAAACAATTCACCTGTTCCATAACTTCTGGTGCCATCCAGCAAGGTGTGCCCACAAATGTTTTCCTGACTTTATTTCTGGTAATGTCACCTCCAGTGGCCAGAAATGCGCTAACGCCGAAGTCTGAAAAGAAAACAAAAGCAGATTTTATTAAGAACACATCCTGAGCAAACTGAAGGGTTGTCCCCTCTTTCCCCTCATATTCCCAGCCATCTATTAAGTACTAGACCATACAGTTACGCATGAGGAGTTTCCTAATAAATGAAGAATGATCAACAGTTAGCTAAGAGTGCTGGTACACGAACGGTCTGTAGTCCACCACTCAATTACTGGGGACAGCAGAGCTTTCAGCGCTGGCCGGGCAGAGAGGAAAATTCCACTTTCCATTACGGCCCACTGGTCACATTACAGCATGCCCACACTCCCCCAGCAGACCTGCTAGTGTACAGACCTGCCTCTCACAGCCAGTGCTTCATTTACCTTTGTATACATACATAACAAGTAATATCTGAACTTCAATTAACAACCTGTTAATATTTGCAGTAATGAAGTCGGGTATGTAAAAAGTTACTCGACTTCACAACGTTTAACAGTCCTAACTGCGTCCTGCAGACTGGATGTATCAGCCCCTTATTCTGGATGCTTTATCACCAGAATATGCTTTGCTTGGAAATCTTCCATTGCTGAGATGCTCAGGGCTTTAACAGGAACTTGAACCGGTTCCTGAAGATACAGCAGTGGTATGGAATTGAGCAGCACGTGCCACTAACCAGCCCAACTATCCCCGAGCAAGCCTTACAGACAGGTATTCGCAGCCTACACGCATCAGCCCTACTTGAAACACCTTTCACAAGCTGAAGGATGCTCAAAGATGCCCCATGCACTGGCTGGTAATTGTATTACCCAAAGTAAATAATTCTTTTAGATGAAAACTATGCTTTCAAAGACAACACTGACATTTTATGCAATTAAGAATAATATCGAAAACAGGATCTGCAAACAGCAGCAGTAGTGTGCAGGGATAGCAATGGGATACAGCATGTTTGTTCAGAGAAGGGCACTACAAAAAATGTGGCAACCAAGTCATTCAAGAGAGGATGGCAGACCTTCCTTGGAGAAAAAAATATTTACATAAAATAAATCAGGCGACAGGGAAACTGTTAACACAAAACTGTGTAAGTATTTCTTCCCAATTTGCTCCGAACTACACTGCTTACGTATTGCAGAATTAGAGCCCTGCAATAGGTCATGCTCTGTAACTCAATTTTATTCACCCCACCTTTTTTAAACACAGTACAAGTAATCAAAATCTTGAATGCCATTTTTGAGACTGATGACAGGCTTGGAGGATAAGCCTCTGAGATTCAAGGGCTAGTTCACATAAAAACAGAACATTATTGACCACAACTGGTTTAAAAATTCTTGAGGCTCAGCCAACATAGTTAACTGTAAATGCAAAAGTCTTACTCAGAGGAGCCACAGAGTTATTCCATAGCTTAAGGATGTTATCCCAACTGAGGAACCAACTGCAACAAAAGATCCCTCTTTACAATTTGCAAACAGCAGCATCCATGTGAGGACAGTTCCGAGCTCCCCTCTCCATCATGCCAGCAGTGCAATGAGCCCCTTCTCACCAGTCTTTCTGTATTTGAGAAACACCACTGAAATTGTCACTCAGAAGAATAAGATGCTGGAAGCTTGCAGCCCACTTAGGTTAGATGCTTCTAAGGACAGCAACTCAGTGCGCACTAAAATACTAGATGTGGGTAACAAAGCTGACATTAAAGAAAGTTGGATAAAAATCACAGGGTTAAAACAAGCACTAGCAAATGCCTATCATTAGGGTTCAGCTTCTTCCAGGTGCACTGTCCTTTTCTCTTCCCTGTTCCCAGAAGCATCTTGTGCTCCTGCTAACCTTGACATTTTAGCACGTCTAGATGGATCACTATCCCCATCAGCACTGCAATCTGTATTTTATTGGAAACCCACTTTTTGCAACAGTGATTTGGCTTTGGATCTTCCATGTGCATACCCACCATCTTTGCTTTTCTCAGAAAACTAAATGAGCTTCCTAAAAAGTTCTGAGTAAAATTACTTGCATGTTACTGCTCATTACGGGAAGTCTCACAAGATCTATTGTTCTAAACACAAGAGCAATTAGGAGTTCTTTTACATAAGATAATACTAATAGAAACTTGTCCAAGTGCCATCAGCATATTATTGTGATGTGCTGTATTTGAACTTGTGTATATTATCTTACCTCAAGTTTCCATGCAGTCATTTTGAGGGTAAAGGAAATGCCATTCAAAGCAGAAGCATTCCAGCAGTAAAAACACAAGTCCTTTACCCAGCGCACACAGCATTCACCCCATTTCACATCAAACGTGGGTTTATAAATTCCAGTTGGAAACTGTGCCCCTACATCTGCCATCTGAGGTCAGCAGAAAGCTTAAATGGAATTAAATTGTATTCCATTACATGGTTGATTTATTCAATGTTTTCCCAATCAATTTCCCTCATTTCCAGTGGGCTAAAACAGGCACAAACATCCTGCGCTACTCTTCTGAAAGGAATGACTTTGAAACTGTCTTCTCAAATGTCATCTCACGAACTTTATCCAGGTCCCAGCTATTAAGATAAGAATGTGCCTGCTCTCAAGAAATACCTGTGAAGCAATAAAAAAAAAAAATCCTAAACACAAGTTAGGGTTCAATTGTTACTTCTAAGCAGTTGGTACCATCCGTGTCTCATTCTTTCTGCTGCTGTTAACCACCCTCAGAAAGGCTAAAGCAGAACCAGGTTATTGCAAATTAATTTAACTCTAGAAAACGGGGAAACTCACAAAAGTCAAGAGGTACGATAGGTCTGAAGTGTTTACATCTGTACTCTTCTTTGGCAGCTTGTACTTTATATTGGCTCACTATAGCAATAACCGGAAAGGACTGCATCACCAGAAACAGGGAGGAATTGGAAATGTTTGGACCTGGCTTGCAATACCAGTAACCACCGCTGCTGGGAATCCAACGACTGTCAGATATTCTGAAGAAGCCCCAAAACTGCAGACTGCCAGCAGTCTGCTAGCAAATAATAGTCTCCAGGATGTCTGGATGCAAGTGGTAGGATCATTTATTTATTTTATTTTTTATCTTTTTCTGAAGCAATGTAGAACAGATTCATGTGCTGGACTTGTTTCAGTGATATAAACCAAAGACATCTTAAAAAAAAAAAGAAAAGAAAAATATCTCCAGACTCTCATATTGCAGCAAAACCAATCCAGAATGGAAATGACAATTCTGCTGATGGAGGCTCTGCAAAAAATATAGCCAATTTTGTCTTTTTCAGTAGTAATATCATGTCTTGCAAACCACACACCCTGAAAAACACTCTACAAAAGTATGGTATTAGGCAACAATTCCTGCTATTAAAGGTACTCAAGTTGTCAAACTTGAAAACTATTCTGGCCACTCAGGAAATGCAAAAGCTGAAATATCTTATTATTCTGCACTGCAGAAATAAAGACCCAGTCTAAACAAGCCACCAACGCAAGAATGCTGTGGTAGGAGCACATCACAATGGGCACCGCTGCTGCTGTGTACATCAGGAAGACACATTTCTACAGTATCATAAATTAGATCGTTTTATCCAAATCTAGGAGTCAGACATTAGAAGTCATCTCTCCTTGGCCATCTCAGATTGTAACATTATCTTAATCCTAAAAAGCCTGAGTACCTGCCACCTCAAGTAGCTACCACAAGGGAAAGAAAACTGTGCAGTAATCAGGAGCCAGGACCAAAGTCTACCGATATCGGAAAGGGTCCTACAGAGTTTGGTGGGTTTGGATCACACCCTAAAGCTGTTCCAAACTTCAGAGTAACAGAACGACAGAATAAACCGATCTTGATTCCAAACCACTCAGAACTGTTTTTAAATTTGAGTAGTCAAGATATTACCCCTCCTCAAGCAAAAATACAAGTATTTTTGAAGACAGTACTAAGGGTTTTTTTTTCCACTGGTCACCTTCCTTCTTGCTCAGTTCTTCACCATCAGAAGATATCTACAGTTGTACTTTCTGTTTTTCTGCAAATCTTATAGCTTTTAAAGCACCAAAGATGAATAAAGCCTTGCAGGAAGAAGAGGAAGGCAGAAGTAAATAGCAATTTTGCACTGAGAGTGCAGCAGGGTAGCAAGACACCAGAGAAAAGGAAGATTAGTGAAGAACAAAATCAAAAATTTCCTTCCTTTTAAAGACTATATGGTCATATAGTGGTGTTGGATCTTAATACACACTTGCTCTCCCAAATTCTCATTTGGAAATGTAGATCTCTATAGTCACATATATTTCAAATCAATTCATATGCACAATGGCAGACTTTTATACGCGCCACAAGTTTAGCTTTTTTGCAATAATGTCAAGGCACATAAAAAATGCATGAAATACCTCTGCTGAGTAAACATAAATATCGCATCTGAAACTGAGCCCCAACAGCGTGTTAATAAAGATACACTAATACTGCACAAAGTAACCTAAGGATGACAAAGCCCAGGCCAGATGAAGCCACCATCCTTGGAGAAGTTCACAAGTGGTTTCAATAACGAAACAGCACAACATCTCTTCAGGAAAGGCAGATATTACAAGCGAACATTACAAAGAAAAATACTATTGCCCCTGTTTCAAAAAAGAGAAGAGGCTCAGAGGTGTCCGTGGTACACCACCGGCTGCTCGAGTCATCCCTGCGATCGGCACTCCTCTCTCTGAGTTAGATTCATTACTTGCCCCATGTTAAAGCAATTTAATCTCCCAAAGTTAGAGTTTCCTAAGGGAAAGTGGGGGAATGACACTGCCTGCATCATAGCCCGATGTTTATGTAGAGCGCTATTTTAGTGCAATGAATTAAGAGCAGTCAGGAACACAGCGAACCGGTGACAAGCTGGCATGGATTTGTGGAAAGTTACACAAATTCAGTTACACAAGTTTTGCCCGGCCTTAACTATCCCCATTTTATAAATAGATAAAGCGAGAGGGGGCTAGGCAATTTGCCCAGTATCAATTAGCAAGTCCTGAACGACTTCGTGAAATCTCAAATCTACTTCAACCGCTTGGCAACACAGCCTGCCCGGGAGAGGGCAGGCACACTGAGCGCCTCTTGGAGCACGCGTTAATAATCCCGATGGGTCTTAAAACCTGAAGATACTGCGTTATTGTCCCTACAACAGAAAAATCCCACACGTGGAGGGACGCGTGCCTTTCAGCCTTCAGTAGACCCTTGCTTCTTCACATTCAAACACAGAGGGGTGGATGATGGCATTATTTAATAACACAATGGATAAAAACAGAAAAAAAAAATATTTAGTCAGCACCCAGTCTCAGTAGGATGCTAATATCGTGCCACGGTTGGAGCACGGCTCATATCGAGCAAGTCTCATGCACCCTGGGAGTTTCCCTCAACCTCTCCCACCCTTTCCCAGTCTATCAAGAGTCTCACTTCATTCCACAATAATTTATAGGGCCTGCATAGTTAAATAAACTGAAGAATATTAAGCCTTGCTTACTGTAAGTAGTAATCTCCTGGTTTATGCAGCAATATTGGTGCTGATACAGTTTATGTTGACAAAGACTGTTTTTACCCATGAAGCTTTTAGACTCCAGGGAGCAAATAAATGCCAGGGCAAAGAGCTTTTATGCTCCGATTAAAAAAAATAAATAAATAAAAATACAATAATTGCCATGGAGAGGCTGGAACACAAAAGAGCACGGCTATCTCAATTTACATTGTAATCACCGTCAGCACAG